AATAGATAAAGGCAAGATTAAGGGAGTAGAATTAAATAATGGGGAAATCATCTTGGCTAAAATAGTAATCTTAACTACTGGCACTTATTTACAACCGATCACCTATCGAGGAAAAGAAAGCCGCGTGGAAGGACCGGGTGGAGAAAAAAGGGTAGTAAATAATATTTCTCAACAATTACAAGAATTAGGATTTAAATTAAAACGCTTTAAAACCGGAACTTCCCCACGTATTTTAACTAACACTATTGATTTTTCAGGTTTAAAAGTTGAACCTGGCACCAATTTGCCCTTGCGTTTTTCTTCCCACAGCGATTATGCGAAATTATTGTCATGAGAAAAACAATTGCCGTGTTATCTGCTCCATACCAATGAAAAAACGCACCAAATTATTCGGGAAAACTCGCACCTGTCTCCAATATTTTACAAGCCGGATATTGGCACCGGGCCACGCTACTGTCCCAGTATTGAGGATAAGGTTTACCGGTTTGCCGACAAGGAAAAACACCAAATATTTTTGGAACCAGAGTCTCGAGAATTAGACACTACCTATATCCAGGGTCTATCCACTTCTTTGCCGGCCGAAATCCAGGCTGAAATTTTGAAAACTTTGCCGGAACTAGAAAAATCCCAAGTAAAAAAATGAGGCTATGCTATTGAATATGATGTGATTGATTCAACACAATTAAAACCTAGTCTAGAAAGTAAATTAGTTGACGGCCTATTTACAGCTGGTCAAATTAACGGTACTACTGGTTATGAAGAAGCTGCTGCGCAAGGGTTAATGGCCGGCATAAACGCCAGTCGTAAAATAAAAAAACAGGAGCCATTAATTCTCCGCCGCGACCAAGCCTATATTGGAGTACTAATTGACGATTTGGTTAACAAGGAAATCACTGACCCTTATCGACTTTTGACTTCTCGGGCTGAATATCGTTTATTGTTGAGGCATGATAACGCTTATACTCGTCTTTGACCGATTACTCGCCAATTGGGTTTGTTAACGGACGAGGAATGAGAAAAATTCCAGACCCAACAAAAAATACAAAAAGAAATTAACCAAGCATTGCAAAATTTAAACTTTAAGGCTGACGATAATTTGACCAAAAAATTCCCCTCTTTAGATATTAGTCAATGAAAAACCATCAAGACAATAAGCGGCTATGATTTGTTAAAAAATAATAAAATTTCCTTGAAGGAATTTCAGACCTGGATACCAAAAATAAAGAACTTAAATTGAGAAGAACAACGAGAATTAGAGGTTAATATTAAGTACGAAAAACAAATTGCTAACCAATTACAAGAGATAAAAGAATTAAGCAAATACGAAACCCGAAAAATTCC